ACTCATCAGTCTATCGCAGCATCGACATCAGTAGTACGTTCATCAAGCTCTCTACTAGAAAGGGAATAAACCTGATTGAACTTGAGTGAGGGTTGAAGCTGTTGGCTCTATCCTTCTCTGCCCATCTGCAGTTTTCTATGAAGCTCCAACTGATTTATTTCTTCTAATGTTTCCCGACCAAGTGAAGGGCAATATCTAGTTATGTTACCAAGCTAGCAACACTAGTAATATGTATGTGAGCTCATCAAATATTCACCCTTATTTTTTTCACAAGTGATTACAGTACTACAAGAACTTCCACCACTGAATCTATCAAAAACTGAACTTGGGTTACTTCACATTGAATCCTTCTGATTGATCCACATGCTCTTCTTCATCAACACTCTTCCTCTTGTGTGTCTTTTTACGCTTCTGAATAAGCTGAAAATCAATCTTTAGTCATCTAGCCCACTCTACTAACACTGAGCAGTCATCGATCCCCAAAAGAACCAAAGGTTGCCTGATCGAATTCTTTAATCGCAAAAGGAATTTGTAGCACTTCTCTTCTGCAGTAGATATTAATTGTAACACATTCCTTGATAAAACGATGAATTTTGTTTCATCATGCATTATTGTCTTTTCTCCCTGCACCAACTTGATGAACTTGTCCTGCATCTATCTTCATGAGAATAGGTGAACAAATTACTCCCTAAAAAGCACCATGAACTCCTCCCAACATATCATCATATTGGGTATGTCCCTTAACTGGTATTGGCGCTGCCCTCATCACCATCTTTGGGCTTCTCCATCAAGCATAAATGTAGCTAAAGACACATTCTTTCGTCAGGGCATGTCATGCTATATGATATCTTTTCTAACCTCATAAGCCAGTTTCTCCACTTCAATCGAATCTTCAGTTCCCTTGAATAAAGGTGGACGTAAATCTTGAAATATCTTCAAATAATTATCTAAGATAACTGTCGTTATCACCTGATTCAGGACATTTGTATTAACATTAACAGCAGTCGCTTCTCCCTCATTTCCAGCCGGACTTCCCTCTTCTATAATCTCAAATGCATTCATTTGATTGAATTAAAGTAATGATTCAATTAGTGTCAATAAAAAATTTTTAATTTTATTATTACTAATTACTTTGTAATTACCCTATTGGTCTTTCATCGAGATTACATTAATTATTTCTAAACATCGCTTAGGTATCACTTTTTTCGCGAGCCAGTATGTGGCTTGGAATTAACCAAGACGGCTATAGACGATCAAACAGTGGAAATTATAAATTTATTTTTTTATGATTCATTTGTATAACTAACATTTAACAAATGAAAACACCACTAAAAATAAAATAAAGCAATAAAGTTAAGTTTTACCTCATTTTTCATTGTCCCCGTTGTCTACAAACATTTTCACTCATATTGCTCGTCTTTTAAAAAAATAATTACATATGAAAAGTTAGTTTAAAACAACTGTGAGTCAATCAAAGCCAGTGTATATTTATACTTCGAAAATATAATAATACAAGAGAAAATAAAGCAATATGCATGATAGTTAAGATTTTAACAAATCAATATAAACATATGATATTTTAAGAATATGATCATATTCAATGAATCTCACTATATCAATAATATATCTATATCGTTTTATTTTTATACAACTGTCACAGGAATATCGTCTAAAAATTATACCAGTTATAGTACTTCAATATATTTTTTTTTTCATTTACGTGCACAGATAACTTAAAGTCTCCCCACTAATATCATCAATGGCAAGCAAGCAATCAAAATAGTAAATCTTATTCTTATTTTACATTCATGTCATTCAATAACCACAATTATGCATTTAAATAACATGTAAATATCAACGACATACAATCGATATGATCAAAACGAAATTGAAAAGCCGGTAAAATATAAGTCATAGAGCGAATCAAACGTGAGAGAAATCAATACTACTATAATTTAAAAGTATAATCACTCACCCAACCCTTTTGATGATTCTTGTAGTCACTTAATCCTTATGCCCTCTACTTAATGTCTAAAAAAGCAAAACATAATATTTTATCACTTCATTGTTTCTCTTACTCACGTTATTTTAAGTATTAATATATCTTCTAAATTAAAAGACATATAAGTAGAGCATACCACAATTAATTTTATTTGTTTGCTCCTTCCTCAATCGCCTCTCTTGATTGTATAATCAAAATTCTGATTTAATTAAAAGTACTATTACTATTTTAATAGTTAGACATATATATTAAAATGATTAGTAATATGCTAAAACTTTAACTCACCTTACCTTTTCTTTGTTGTCGTCACCCTCTACTCAATCAAAATCTAAAACTTCTATGGCTTGATTCTGATTTCAAATGCATTTAACTTCAACATTTAAATAAGAAAAAGAAGAAAATAGTGGATATGTTGAATTTCAAGTATTTCATTTCACCAGTAAGATACGAAGACTTACTTCAAATTTAGAATTACACAAAAGAGATTTTTTATCACAAAGGGATCAACGATAGATATATATAT